TAACTTCCAGGTCTTGGAATACATACACAGTGCTCTTCATTGTCAGGCTGTTGTTTTACTCTCTTCACTCTCTCCTTGACCGGTCTGCTGCCCTGTCTTGTGTATTAACGATTCCAGAACCAAACAAGTTTGAGGTTAGAGCCTCTCCTGTAAATGTGTTCCTGCCATCTTCTGTGTTAATCCCCATGACACAGCCCTTAGCATTCTGATATTCTAAACTCCTGTAAGGATAGAGACTGGCACCTTGTTCACTATGTATCTCCCGTGCCTGGAACTCAGCGTAAATGCTCTTACATGGATTTAAATGATTTTCAACTCAAAGAAGAAAAGCAGAAATTCATTTGAAAATTTTTCAATTTACTAATTTAATAGAAATAACCAAAACAATGTGGCTTTCAAACAAGGCTTTAAACTAATCTAATACAACTTCTACAACACATTCCAGAGCATTATAACAAGAAATATTTACAGGTAGCTAATGTATTAAATAACCATGAAAAGAAAATCTTGCTTTTATTACACACCAGCAAAAAACACAGCAACGGAACAATTAGAAACTGCAACCTTGCTTTAAAAAATTAAATATGATTATTTAGAGAATACAATACCACAGAAACAGCACTTTTTTTAAGAATCATATTGAAGGGTAAGTTAACTATGTGCAAAAATAATAGTAGTATTAATAATGAGGGAGGAGACCAGTTTAAATACTGGAAGCAAGGAACTAGTAAGGCTGTGAATTTAACCCTTTTGTATGTAGGTTCATCTACATAGAAAATTAACAGGCTTTCAGATTGCACAAATCTTTTCTTCATAGGCTTATATACATGTTTCACTGTGGATTAAAACATAGTAAATGCCTACATTTTTCAGACCAGGAGCAGACATGCATTTCGTTCTTAAGATGGAAACTTAGGCCATACTTGAAAGGGACTATTGCAGTGGCACTTACAAAATCATTCCAGTCTTCCCACATACAAATATGGTGAATTTAAAAGAACAGCATTTTTTAAACAGATCACTTGCTAGAAAAGGGCTAAACGTAATTTTTACATTTGATAGGTCGATTACAACAAATATATCCAAACTGACGTATCTTTAATAAGATCATTGTTTCTCAGATATGATAAAAAATATATAAAAGACCACAAAGGCAAACACAAGGAACGAAGATGGAAGAAATGCTTCACATGCATTCTGACCAAGTAAAAGAAACCATTATATCCAAGAGTACATGTTGAAATCTGAAATGTCTATGTAAACTGTGGCATATAAATTTTTTTCTTAAAAAAGTACCTTCAATTTTTTTACTCAAACACCTACTTTTAAAAAAATATGCAACTTTCCCCAATTTTTAAAATAAAATGCCACAATATATTGTCATTAGCTCCAGCATACATTTAAATTCCATAATTTTTAAAAGATAGACTGGGTGATATGCATATAAACTTTTCTATAAAACCACCATCAAGGAGAGGATCGTGACATGCTGTCAGGCAACAGACTTAAAGCAGTGTTATTGCTTTATCGAGGAGGAGATGAGCGTAAAAGAAAGAAACATCCAGGTGCAGTACATGATCACCTGTGATACACCTTGAAAACCTTGGGTCGCCGTTAGCAGATTACTAACATAGATAGCATGAATTAAGGATGCAAGGCCTGAATTAAGAATGACTGATTTAACGGGGGTAGCTGGGCTGGGCAGACGAATGCAACTACTCACTGACCCAATGCCGAGCGCACAGCCAGCGCTGACCACGCGGAACCAGCTCCTCTCCACCATGCGATGCGCGGTGAGTGGGCAAAGGGCCGCAGAAGCACGGGAGGGCCACAGAATCTGCACCCTCCGGGACACTAGAGACGTCTAATAACTTGGAGCAACCACAGTCCACGGGCACAGTCTGAAGGCCGGATTGAATCTATTGGCTTATTAACACAAATCCCTAATAGTTACATGGTAGGAGACCTGCTGAGGTAACTGACGATCTATAGTTTGTGCACCATAAAACCGGAACTGCTCTTTAAAAGGACCTCTTTTTTTTACTTAACTGAAATTCTCAAAACTATTAAAACAAAGGAGGTAATTAACACATTTTAAAATACATCTGAAATTCCCTTGTCTAAGAACTGGATGGCAAAAAGTAACATCTTGGTTCCCAAAAGAATACTGTCTACAGCGGCCCTTATCCGTAGCACACCCCTGGGGTAACGGTTTCGGAGCACGACGACAATCTGACTGTACTTCACAACAGTCACATGCTTTATGTCGCACAGCAACTCCTTCAGCAGTGACCAGCTGGGCCAAGTTGGGAGGGGGAAAAGCAGGCCAGCGGAACAGACTGAGGAATACTTTGTTCTTAGTGTTCTGATGGGAGATGAGAAGTGAAGTGTGGCCAAAACTTTACAAGCTTGTATGGAAACACGAACATTTCCAAATCTAAAATACCACGTGTGGACAAAGACCAAGAGTGGACTCAAAACGAACTGCCTTCAGGGCTGATATTCAATGTTTGTATTTTAAAACATAAATTAATAGGAAAACATTTAGATATTGCAGTATCAAGTTAAGATTTTACATTTATAGAGCCAGTTCTACTAGTGCTGAACAAATCAGCTCAGAAACACAGTGATCAGTGTGCAAGAAAATGCTTTAATGAAATCTAAAGTGGATCCATTTACCTATGGTATGTCGATAGCTATAAACTTAACAGTAATTTCTGAGCAGTATGAATGATCTTTTAACAGAAATGGAAACTATAAATGTTGACAATAAAGTCACTTTTAAGAACCCATCTTAAAAGTACCTATACACGAAAAATCCATCTGAACGGAAATATTTTAAAGAAAACACATTATCTTTTCAAGATCCCAAATACTGAGGAGTATTTACCTAAAATTTTGCTTCTCCCCACACTGGTAGAGCCTGAAACTGTCATAGGCTGTAAGAACTATGAGGAGGATTCATATGAAGAGCAGATAGAAAGTATCAAAACACAATGGCTTGACAAGATGAAGTTTCACTGCTTGCTATTCAACACTTTTCAAAAATGTGTTGTTAGGTGTATCTCCTGATAAACTGAAAAGTACAAATATTGAGAAAGAGTGAAATGCACATAGATAAACCCATTTTTAGGAAAAGTTTCTCCCTCCCATAAAAGAACTCCTCTTAGGACTTTTAAAGTTCAATATTATAAAATAGTTTGGTATATGTTTTGTAGTTTAACTTATAACAACACTGAGAAGATAAAAGGGAAGTTACAAAATAAAGCAGTGAACAGCATTAACAAAATCAATACCGTTTAAACACACTACCAGAAGGTCTGAATCATATTCACGTTTACCCCAACCCCTTAAGAAAAAACCCAAAGGAATTTGTCTAATAGATTTTTACAGCGATTTTATTTGATTCAATGTGCACTAAAATATTTACCTCTTTGACAATTACGTCAAATAATTTTAAGCTGATTTTTTTTTAAAGACAAATTGTTTTGCCACAAATCTGCTGATGTCTGAAAAATATCTAAGGGCAAGTCTTCTATTTTGGTCACTTTATATTCTAAGGTGTCCACACAAAAGTAGGACAACATTTTTAATCCAACCAAAGAGAAGCCCGTACACAGTCTAGAACACACATCTTGGATCTGAGCATCACAAATGAAGAGAAGAAAAATGAACCAGAGCCACGCTGGGCTACCTGCCTCAAGTGCTGAAGTTGGGTAGTAAAGGTGGGTTTACTCCAGTAACCATTCAAGTGGGGGTTGGCTCATTCTCAGGGTTTCTTACAGGTCTCTCCCCAGGCCTTTAAGCGCCCAGTCCGTGCATAGGTCCCACCTGGTGGACGGATGCGTAATCTAATAACCCCACCGGGTTTATTTCAATATTTTGATATTTTAATAATAAGCTGCTTCTGAAGATTTTCTGAGAAGTCTGTTCTCTATTAAAATAAGATAGAACCTCAAAATATGAATGTGAACATTAGAAATAGACAGCATATATTACAAATCCATTCTTAATAGGAACATTAGTAAGAATACACATTAGCTTAAAAAACAGGCTCAGCAAATGTTGCTGATCTGCCAGAGTTTTAGTTTACTATTTACAAATAAGACAAAGTGAAATACAGAGAATTTTACACATTTGGTAGTTGACAGATTACTGTTTGCCAATAGCGGTCTGTCAGAAAACTGATATAAAGGAAGACTGGATACGAGCCAGTTGGCACCTTCTCAGTCAAATTTACAAGTACAGAAAACGAGATTCATTTTGAAATAAGCCTTCTGACTTTCATGGGAATAACTAACTGAATGATTGGATGATGGAATTGGGAAGTGCAAGTCTGTGGATTTCTTTTCCTGGAAATGACTATTCAAAACTAGATGATCTGCTTCGGAAAAGTTGCCTTGGTTATTTCAGCAGACCATTAAAGTTGACATGATGATCAATGGTCATGTTTCCTAGACTGTAAAGATGAACAGAAAACAAAACTGCTGAGTTCTTGAAATCAATATAAACTAAGGCCCAACAGCATCAAAATGAAAATACATATAGATGTAACCCAGGAGTCAATGCACATCTTGCATCGACATCCAAGTGGAATCCGAGGAACTTTGATTCTAACTAGAAAACATGCTGATGTGTGTGGAGGGAGCCAAAAACATCTCAGTAACGGTGCCCTCTAGTCCAAAAAGACAAGTCATGTCAAATGGCGTGACGCTCAGTTACTTACGCGTATTCCCAGGGTCCTGCACTAATACGGCCAACATGGGATTCTGCCCGTTCTAACAGCAAGAACCACCTTCTTTAGGAACAGACATCTCAAATCATTTATTTTTACTTCTAAAATTGCAAAGAGAGTTCTCTCCCCTTTTCTTGACAAGACTGCGTTTTCTGTCCATTATTCAATCTAATACTGTGAAAAAGCGGTCAGCTTTTTTGAGGAGGTGCCCACTCTAGGCAGAGATTCCAGCAACACTTAAATAAAAGTTCTCTTTCTTTTTTTAAAACAATTGGTTTAAGTTCATGTCATTTTACTTTATATGTACTGGTCTCTCATCTGACTTTAGGCGTTTTCTGCGGGGCTGTATAAAGTCTTCATCAGAGTCCTCAGTTACCTCACCATCATCCTCTTCCTGCTCAAACTCTGGCAAAGGTGCGAAGGTCCTGTCTGAGTAGATCTCTGTGAGTTTATCTTCAAAGTACAATGCAACTGCTTTCCCTGCCTGAGCTACTTCTGAATCAGCCTGCAAGCAAAAGATAGGAATATTCACCTATTGGTAATGCATATTCCTTCATCAAGTTTGCGTGGTCTGAAAAGCTTACCTTCAAATTAATCTCTTGTGTTTCTGCATAAACTTGAACAACTTTCATCATCTAAAAAGGATACCAGAGTCAAAAAAAAAGGGAAATTATAATCCTTTCTAAAGTTATGAGACTGCATAGGATTGGCGACCAATAGTCAGCCACACTAGGGACACAAAGTGCTAGGACCAGACAAAGTGCAGTACACGAGTCTACAGAACATGGACCCACTTTCTTTACAAAGTTCTACTACTAGAATTGCCTCAAGTTCTCAATTAGTAAAGTTACTCTGAACAGGAGTTGATCTGAATATAGCCACTTAAAAGAAAAATTATTTGCGAAACATTAATTTAAGAAGTATTGCTTTTTGAAAAACCGACAAACTTTCCCCAACCACTTAATTAAAATTCTATCTTATGGCAATTTGTTAATCGTAATTACTTAGCTATCAATAAACCAGATAAAATGGATCTTCCTGGCTTTGCTCATGAAACACTGGCTAAAGTTCATGAAAGCGAATCTAACTGGATTAAAATTAAAACTAAAACTGGAAATGTATTCAAGTGAGGGAGTTTAACATTATTCTCTGGTGACACAACAATACAAAGGTGCCTAAACTTTGCACAGAGAATATTGATATATATATATATATATATAAAAAGTCACCTAGATGTTCCCAAAGACACATATGGGTACATTTTAAACGATTCATGTTCTTTATTTTAGTAAGAGTCACATGGCACCCACATTTCAGAAGCAACAGAAATTTTAGTTCTGATTTTTAAAAATTTTATGCATTCTCTCTCACTTCCATTTTCTTCTCCTATGAAAATCAAAATTTCCCCTTAACAAAAAGGTATTTGACTTTTTCTAAAGATGATTAAAAATAAATTCCTTGAGAAAGATAAGTAGCATACACGTCTCCTCAAGGGGACGGCTCATCCTTAGCCTCACAAAATACACAGCCAAGACCAGAACACTAGGCATTACATGACTATTCAGGATGAACCACCAGAGATTAGTCCATGAACATTTAGGTTCTCCATCTACGTGGTCAATCATGAAATCAAAGGACACTGGTACCAAGATCTTTCCTCATGGTACCAAAATGTAAGCTATTTATAACCATTACCCACAAACTATATTTAATTACTTGCTATGCTTATCTAAACCTCAATGTATTCAAGAAGGGATACTCAATAATTTTCTTCATATTTAAGTGGACACTTCAAATTATGGAGTAAAATTTCTTCTATGAAGCCTAGATGCAAGCAAATTTTACTTTGACAGAACTAAAGCAGAAAAAAACCTTAATCCAAATTTAAAAAACGTCTAGGCAGTAAAAACAAAAACAGCAAAATGAACAAAAAGTCACAAAACTCTATAGTTTGGAAGCTAACATACTTCATTAAACCTTTCACAGTTCTTGAAGATCAAACGGACATCGGCCACAAAGTCATCTGGGACTTGGTAGTGTTGGGAATGTTTTTTCTGAAGCTTCTTTTTCACTGTGGATAAATCCATTGGTTTCTTTATAATTTTATAGTAGTTTGGTATCTAAAGAAACAAATAGATAGGGATAAACAAGGATTCTCCAAAAATGTCAAACTGTTTAATCTGAAGATGCACAAAGCTTTACTAACTTTTGAGGGGAAAAGTGTTGATAATTTAACCAGTTACTTGCAGATTTTGAGTATAATGAATGTATTTTAAATCATCCCACACGAGCATATCACAAAAATAAAATCATATTAAGTGTACATAATAATCTTCATACTTAGTCAAGGTTCTGTCTTCGGTAGACAGACGGGTACAGAAGTAACTCCAGAGGGCCAAGCACTAGTGTTATGGGCGGATCTGGGGCTTCAGAATTTTATGAATCCAAAAAGTTAAAAAAATAAAAATAAAAAATAAAACAGATAATGTATTGCTATTATTAAAATATTATCACTAAGAACTCTGGCCATAACAGAAATATTTTAGTAGCATACAAAATATTTATTAACCATTTAGTGATCATTCTGGAGTGTTCTCCCATTGTGACCAAAACTCTCTCCAAATTTCCATTTGGAAAATACCCAAACATAAAAGTTATTCAAACAGATAATGAAAAGAAAATGTCTGAATATAAGTTTCTACCATAAAATTCTTAAACCTCAAATGAGACACTTTCTTGTATCACGTCATTAGTATCTGCACAAAGCACCTTCCTTGTGTCTATACCTTCTGTGCTTTACAATTCATCTCTCAAGTCTCCTTTGTAAGTATGTCCACCATTTAATATTCTTTAACAGAACTAGCATTTAATATCTCAATTCAAAATCTGGTAAATAAAGCAAGCAAATAAAATGTGGCATTAAATACATTTACTATTCCTTTAACAATGGAACGTTAGAACCCGTATTTCTTACAAGTCTCCTTTATGATAAGCAAAGAGCACTGACTTGCAAAACTTCCCCCAAATTTCTTAATCTTGACTATTCATAAAAGGGATCTTAGAAAGGCAGAGCACAATTCAATATTATACTTTTCAAATTCAAATCAATACTTAAGTAGAAATTATTTTTGCCTCCAGGTACAGAGTCTAGAATAATAGAACTGGAATCTCAGAAATAATTTAGTGCAAAACTCCCACCCTATAGTTTAACAACACAGGCAGAATATTCTATAATCTATATTTCCCAAAGCAGAAGCTTTTTGACCCTTCATTCGAGAATTTCCAAATGTATCCATTTTCCCTTATGTCTATCTTAAAAAGATAACATGGAAATTAAATTTTTATCACACATTCAAACAAAAATATCTTTAAAAACACAAGGCAATTTATACAAATGAATCATATTCATTCAGTATTAGTAAAATTACTGATTAGAAGTATTTATGATGGTCTCAGGTACTACACTAAAACATTTACACAGGTTACTACATACGATCCTTGCAATAACCCAATGAAGTTAAGGAGTAATAGTAGGAAACTTGAGCCTTGTGGAGTCTTAAAAGATTTCTAAGAAGCTGGAGGTTTAAAAAGCTGTCTGAGGCTAGAGCACACACCCTCTTAAGTACTATACTAAATTTCTCCATCAGGGAGGTAACCAAGGTAAACAACTCACCGATGCAGGGACTGGCTCCTGGAATTCAATACTTAATTCATGGCAATAGAGGTAAAGCAGAAGACGTTCACATTTCTGGCACCCCCAAAAAAAGGAAAATCGGTGAAAGTTTTGAGTTTTTTTTAATTAGTGAAATATTCTCGAGAATGAAAACTTTTAATCACTACAAAGTACTTTACAACGAAATAAAAATAAGCCTCCTACTTAAGAGCAATCCAATTAAAATATTACATCCAAAGAATACTTATTTAGTTTTGAGATGATCTCATCTAACTTATCAAAGAGAACAGCCTTTTGTTTTTACATGAAAGCTAATTTATCTATTAACAATGATATTATTTATAAAATGGATGAGTCATAAAGCAACATATAACATTTTGTGCAAAAAAATTATTACCTCGTAATCTATTAACTGTCACTATTGCCACTATTGCTAGTGATTCTAATTTCCTGATACAGGAAAGACGTGTTATATTACTTCTTTTTGAAATGATTCCTTTTAAGTACAAAATTAAGTAAAGACTGTCTTGTCATATCCACTGCTAAAACTTTCAGAAGTTAATCAAAATGCACTTACACTTATAGCCTTTTATTTGCTTAAGCTTCTTTTAACAGAAGTTTGTACCCGTTCAACACACCTTCTCTTAAAAGATAGTGGAGGAGGGATTTTGCAAGTATGTAAATCAGATTAGAGTCAACCATAACTGTTAATGACCACAGAACTAAGTGAAAGCTAGTCGGTCTCTGAAGATTAGACTATAGGCCACATCAGCAGGAATCTGAGTGAATGAGATGATTTTGAATCTTTTTTAATATTCACTTATTTATGCATACAGAACTGGGGTACAGCCAGAGGTGCAGGGGCGGTGAGAGGATTCACTACAGACAGAGTGGAGCAGAACAGTCCAACTGATGAAGTGCACGGCTGAGGGGAGCAGTGGGCAGGTCAGGAGAGGTCTGCCGAGCCATGTGGGTCACCTCCGGACCAAGGATCAAATTCATGCTGAAGTGGCTTCAGCTTCTTAGTGCTGTGCTTTATCCTACCACGCCACCAGGATTTATTATTAAATCCTATTAAAATCTTATTTTTAGTAGGAGGACGAGCAATCAAGATTTTAAGCAAGAAGTTCTAGATTTGTCTACATTTTTAAGAACATTATGCACAAGCATAGAAAAATAGTAAGGTCAAAGAGCAGAACTGGGAAGTCCAATGAAGAGATTATTCTAGAAGTGCAGATGAAAATCTATGATGGCTGTATCAGAAGGTTATGGTGGTGAAAGAAAGTGGCATTATAGGCATTCCTGCTTCTTTTACTCTATTAAGTTCCTGGCCTGAAAATTAAAGAGGAATGGTGGTACCATTTAATAGCGGGAAATAAGAAATAATTGGGGAGAAGTCCAACTTCTTATGTGATTTGCATACTTGTTGCCTTTGGGGGGGGAAAGAATTATAAATCAAAATTTTAGTTGTAACATGTTAAATATAAGGAAGTTGGAGTTAAGAATTTGGAGCTGAGAAGTAGAGACAGTTTTTAGAACACATCAACAGACTATCAATTGGTGACATTAAAAAATGATTATGTATCAGGGTAAGTGCACATTACACCCTCCTCCCTCCCCAACGGCAACATAACCTCTAGAATAAGGAGGGAACTCATTTGACACTTACCCTTTGGTCCGTGGGGCTTAACCCCTGTGCAGTTTTCCCCTTCTTACTATGTTGCAAATTATCACAATCATATTCAACTTCTGGTTTCCCAATATCTCTGCAAAATGTGCATATCCAGTCCCCACTGAAGAGGGAAACAGGTAGTTTAACAAAACTCAATCCAAAAATTGGTTCCTTAGACTGGTTTTCTTTCCAGTTTTTGGGGGAATGGGAGATTCTATTTTCATCAAATCTAATGTAGTGGGTTGCAAGCTAAAAATCCCCCAAACTATTCCCAGTCATTCTTCAATTGATCACCTTCTGGGAAACATTATTAAGATAGTATTTCTACATGCAAAATCAGAGGTGATTTTCTTATAGGAGAAAGTTCACGAACAGTACTTGCAGCATAAGACAAGTCCCAGACTCTAGTTATTACCACCCCAATGACCCCATATTCACAAATAACAGTACAGGATAATGAAGTTCTTAGGTACTCAGTACCATCACGCCATGTATCAATAAGCCAAAATTAAGTAATTCCTTTTTTTATGGCAAGTCAAAGCCTAGAATACACATACACAGAGCTGCAAGTGCAAGCGCATACATGTATATCCTCTATCTTTAAAAATGCTGCCCTATATAGTTTATATCAGGATTTCTAACAAACTATACATCCAAAACGATTCATTCACATTTATTCTATCCCATTCCCTCTAACGTACATAACTTAAATTCTAAGTTTAGGAATTGAATTAACTAATCTGTGTCAAATTTTTTTCCTAAGATTTTATTTATGCATATAAGAACCAGATATAGGTAGACCAAAAGTGTGGGGGTGAGACGATTCACCGGAAAGTGGGGAGCAGAACAGGTGGATCTACTGAAGTACATTGCTGAGGGCAGCAGTGGGCAAGACATGAGAGATCTGCTGCGCCATGTGGGTCAGCTCCCTGGCCAGGGTTCAAACTAATGCCACAGTGGCAGGTGATAGCTTGATGGTGCTGAGACTTTAACCCTTATGCCACCAGGGAGACCCAAAACTTGAGTCAATTTTTCTTTTAAAGATTTGTTTATTTATGCATACAGAACTGGGGTACAGGCCAGAGGTACAGGGGCAATGAGACGATTTACCAGAGACAGAGTGGGGAGCAGAACAGATGAAGTACATTGCTGAGGGGAGCAACAGGCAAGTCAGGAGAGGTCTGCCACGCCATTTGGGTCACCTCCAGGCAGGTTATCGAACTCAGTTGAAGTGGCTTTAGCTTCTTAGTGCTGTGCTTTAACCTGCTGAGCCACCAGGGGGGGCCCACTTGTGTCAATTTTTAACTCCTCTGAAAGCATTGGCATTTGCAAGAAGGCAATCAGTAGCTAAATCCTAATGTTTCAGCAAGATGTTATTACCATCCCAAAAAAAGAAAATCTTTTAATATTTTAGAACCCAAATGCCAAAACTTTTTTAAAAGAAAAAAAAGGAAGGAAAACCCTTATCACATCTCTGGCAAATGACTATACATCATCTCTTCCTTTGATGTGGGTAAGAGTTCAGAAAAGAATTCTGGAGCTATTTACACAAACCCATCTCTTTTCTAATATAAAAGATAAGACTTTTTCAAAACAGGTAGTACTTAACTAAAATAATCACTTCTGGGAAATGAGAGGAATTTTGAATTGTTTTACCTATAGAAAATATTGGTTTCCCTAAGACCACTGGCTTATTTTTACTTAGTAGGAAACTAGGGCTTGAGTTTGAATGAGAGAAGGTTAAAAGAAAGTTAAATAGGACTACTACCTCATGGTCACTGAAATCCATCAGAAACAAGATTAGATATAAAAAACTTTAAGGGAATAAAAAGAGATCATCTAATCCAAACTCTACTATTTGTAGATATAACTGAAAATTAATGAATTGCCCAAGATAATTTAGTTCACCAAAGAATTATGATCAAACTATATCGGATCTGTAGCCCAGTCCTACACCTCTGTTGTACTATAATACACCTGGCACGAACAGCTTGCCTTGGGTGCCCACCAGTAAATGTTTTTATCTTGAAACTGCATTTAACTGCCATGAGGTCAAATACATCTGAAGAAGTGTTCATATTTCCCCCCAAACTTTGAGTTTCCCCAGTTCTTTCCATGTAAATAAGGAACTCTTCCCAAGTTAAATACTCAAAAGTATTCCAATTAAATGATAGAAAATCTGAAAAGCAGGCACTGTCAGGTAGCTTAGTGCCAAGAGGAAGTCATTGCTAAAAAAATAATAAAGTACCTTTTGGGCATTTTTTAACAAATCGTGTTTTTATATGTCACTTAAGAGCTTCCAAACTAAGTTTTGTAGTGAATTGTCTCAAACTTGAGTTTTATAATTAAAATGATTATTATTGAGTACACTAAGATGAATGGCAACAAATATTTTAAAATTGATCTTTAAGAGGAAATTAACTTTCTCCAAAATTCTAGTCTCCTCACCCTTCATAACTGAGACTTAATTTGCTTATACTAAATATAAACCAAAGGCCGGGAAATGCTCTACTTTTGGTCATTAATGCACTACTTCGTTCTCAAACAGCTCATCACACATCAGTAAACTGCTCTAGAAGGTAATGCCAAGAGAATAATGGGCGCCAGTTTCCAGTAACCATGTGGTGGTTACGAAGGCCTTCTGCCCCGAATGCTGCTTTTTTATCTTATAAAAATGAACAAACAAACAAACAAAAAAGAACAAAAAAACTGATGACTTCACTGATACCTTGGAAAGCTAAGAAGTGTTGGAACATGACAGGTTAGATGAAAGACCTTTGGGCATTTTTCACAGCACAAGAGATCCCCTCCATTCTGGCAAACAGCACACCAATCTTCATTGGGGTCATCATCTTTGCTGCTGCCATCTCCTCCAATCCTCGGTGACCTGTGCATGAGGCTTCGAATTGGGGACTTTCCATTAACAAGGTTGTTGAGTCCTGACTGTTTGCAGCTTTCACTCATTTCTGTAGGTTCACTTTTCACATGATTTTCCAGGCTTGCTAATGCGTCCAACTCACTTTCTAGATGTAGGTTGGTTGAGAGAGGTGGTGTCAAACTACTCTCAGGACTGCTCAACTAAAATAAAGGACACATTTTTGAAGATCATTTAAACCTTACTGCAAGGAGAGCATGCACACATGTGTACCTACATATTTAAGTTATGTCAATATGAGATACTGGCATAACATCAAATTGTTTGGAAATCACAACAGTGACAAAGTATTAAAAAGAATTCTCCAAAATTATTAAGCATGTTAACTAATTATTTTAGAGGGACAGTGTCCTATATTGGTTCATTCAAATAATGAGACCACTTAAACTATTAAGCATTCTGATTAGGAAGTGAGCACAGGGTTAGACTTTTCCTATAAAAAGCTATTCTTCATACAAGAAAATGCAGCACAGTTTCTGAGATGCATTCTGAAACATCCCTCTGCCCACTATCATTCTTCTGATGTAGGAAGGTTATGACAATATAAAATTAAGTCTTTGACTACCCCTTTGTGCCCAGCTTTGGGGAGATATTTTCTAAACCAGGCTCTAGAAGAGGTGACACTGCTCCAAACCCAAGGTTAATCTTCTAGTGCTCTCTGAATCTACATGTACCATGTTGAATATACTAATACCTTGAATTGAAATTTGACTTGCTAACTATGCAGAAATTGTGACATATAGATTGGGCAGGGGAAAAAAACCCCAAGATTAAAATTCCTAAACAAAATAAAAATGCTTTTATTCTCTATTAAACTTTGTAAAATGTTCAATTGAAGGAATTCTAATGTGGTTAATAATTCATTAGTTAAAGGCAATCTCCTACCACAGAGGTCTTTGATCACTGAACTTCTTTTATGTCAGCACTCGTAATTCTGAGCTCATCGGTCCAGGAAAATAGCGAAGGGTATTTTGTGGCCTGAGGCTCACTGTGACTCTTGAGAGGATTAATAAATTCAGAACATGGCAGAATGCGATTTAAACGCAAAATATCAACTAGTTTCAAATGGAGATCTAATTTTAAATTAAGTCCTTTCTCATCAGTCAGCTGACTTGAAAAAGTTAAATGAGAAAAAGAAGTATCTGCTTAATAAGAGATGTAAAAATTCAAAAGTAAAGGTACACAGCTCACTATCAAACAGTCCAATAGAGTCTACTCTCTCAGAGACAGAGGCGTCAGGGACATGTTAAGCCGCTGTGAGAGCCCAAGGGGAGCTCACCATGCAGGCACTCCGCCTGCCGTCCTCCGTCTTTTCTTGTTTCACAGCTCCTGAAAAGCTACATATTTCGTCTTCAGTCCCAGGTTCTTGTTTGACCTTCACTTGATCAGACTTAAAACTAAGACTTGTCTTCTCGGTGGTTCGGCCTGATGATCCACAGCTAGTAAGAAAAGAAAAAAGGCCATGTGTTTGATTGTCTGATGTACATAAAAACAACTATATGAAAAGTAATGCCCATCAAGGTGAAAACAACAATTCACTAACTTCATAGGAGAAACCCTCAGAATGACATTAAGGAGTATGATAAATGAACAGATCAAACTAAAGGCAAATTTCATGGCCTGAAGCACTTACACTAAGTCATTAGGAATCTCATAAAGAACAATTCCCCCAAACTAGTGGTATAGAATGTCAGTGATCTCTTATTTCTATAAAATGTTCTTCCTACCCCAAAACTTAGTATACCACATCAATAGTATCAGTTCAGGAAGCCACCTCCAAGCAACCAGTACTTCAGCTTGTGAAGGTGGAGATTGAGAAGCGGATGAGCAGCCAATAACCCAACAGCCAGAAGGCCCTCATTTGAATCAATGCAGTGACAGATTAAAAAGATAGATGTGGGCCCTCCCTGGTGGCGCAGCGGGTTGAAGCACAGCATTGAGAGTCTGAGGCCGCTTCCACATGAGTTCGATTCCCGCCTGCCCCGGAGGTGACCACATGGTGTGGCAGGCCTCTCCTGACCCGCCCGCTGCTCCCCTCAGCAGTGTACTTCGTCTGTCTGCCTGTTCTGTTCCCCGCTCTGTCTCTGGTGAGGCCTCTCGCCGCCCCTGAGCCTCTGGCCTGTACCCCAGCTCTGTATGCACAAATAAAAAAAAAAAAAAAAAGATAGATGCATGGCTAACAGGTTCTAGCTAGTGCACAAAACAAAACTACTGGCAAGTAGCTGAATAAATAAGTTAAAATACAATGTTGATCAGTTTGTACATTCTGAAAACTGGTATTAAGTACTTGCTTGATTGTATTTTAACTTAACATACTCTTTTTTTCAAGCCCGTCACATCCACTGTTTCTTAGCGCTGTCCACCAAAAAGGAGTAAGAAACAATGAACAATGCAGGAGCACTGAGTGTCTCTAGTGCCCACAAAATTATTTCCAAACACCATTTCCCTACTAACAAGATCATTAAGAGAAATGGCTGGCTCTTGCCCTGAGGCAGAAAATGTGTAAGACAAACCTGGAATATCTTATAATAGGAAATAGGAAACAAGTAAGTCTATGTCTGTATAATATATATATTTAATTTACTTGTATTAGTTTTACATCAGGTGCTGTCCCCACAGAATTCCCATCACTGACCATGTACCATCACCTTAGTCCTTACGCTCCCCACCCCAACACCCCCACTCCCACAAATGTCTCTGATTTATAGCTGATTACTTTTGTTTAGTTTTGTTATATTGCTTTTTTAAAAAAAATGTTGTAATTTCCCCCTCTGATCCCTTACTTGATTTCCCTATATTCCTCCTCTAAGTAAAATGGCCCAAATTTTTCCTTTTCCTTTTGGGCTTATTTCACTGAGCATAATCCCTTCTAACTCCAACTCCATCCATGTTGCCACAAATGGCATTAGATTCTTTTTTTTTTTTTTTTTTTTGCTGAATAGTATTCCATTGTGTATATGCACCACATCTTCTTAATGCAGTCATTTATTTTTGGGCATTTGGGTCGAAAATAAGGAAATGTTTAAGATAACTATTAGCAATAAGATCAAGCCAATTTGGAAAAAGTTCTGACAAATCTAAGAACAATTAAGGCATGTATAAAAATAACATCTTTAATGCATTAGAGCATATATAAAATGTTGAAGTATATGAACGCGCAAAGGTCATAATAATTTAAAAATTCCTTGGTCACAGTTATAGTGCTGGGAACCAACTCATTATTATGCAAACGGGCTTAATAAAGAAAAAAAAAAGACATAATAATTAAAATATAATTTCTTAATACCAGCAAAAAACATATAAACATATGTACAGCTAGGCAATAATCGTTAATGGTCAGCTAGCATGAACAGTGGAAAGTGACCAGACTTGTGCTCCTGATGAAGGATACAGTACCACCGAAAAAGTGTATTATACCACCCCTCCCCAAATCAAATTTAAAGCTGATCAAACTTCTTTATCTACATACTTACAATGTATTTAAATGACAAGATAGGAGAAATGGAGGGACTCCACAGAACAATGTACTTCTTCAACAAGTAAATTGATTTTAACCTCAATGTATCTGCTGTGATGATGTATATATATATATATAGTTTATCTGAATCTAATTAAAAAGGCAATTATGGGCGGGCCCCCTGGTGGTGCAAGAGGTTAAAGTGCAGCATTATGAAGCTATTTGCAGCCACTGAGGAGAGTTCTGGATCCCCAGCCCAGGAGCTGACCTCACCATGCACAGACCTCTCCTGTCTCGCCCACTGCTCTCCTTAGCAATGTATTTCAGTAGATCTGCTTGTTCTGCTCCCCACTCTGCCTCTGGTGAATCCTTTTATCCTCAACATTACTGGCCTGTACCTCAATTCTTGTATGTATAAATAAATATTTTTTTAAAAAAGATAACTATGGGGAAAATTGCAAAATCTAAACATTAACTGACTTCTACTAAGGCTAAAGAATCAGTTGTTGATTTTTTCCTCAGGTTCTGAAGCTATAAATTTTAAACTTTCTTTAAATATATGTAAGTGACACATAAGAAATAGTCACAAGTGAAACTATATCAGATTTGTTTCAGAATAGTGCAGACCAAGGGAGAATAGATGGATGGAACACAGAAGAAGCAAAAGTATAGTGGAGAGTTCAATGTAATATTCATACTTTTAAAAATATGTATCTGAAATTTTCCATAACAACAATGAAGAGTTTATTCATTTAAACTCAACTGCCAACACTAGAGGACAGGGAAGACAAGACTGACCTTTAAGTTGGTCATTGTTGAAGCTGCGTGTTACCATGTAGAAGAGTCACTGTAACATTCTACTTAAAAAAGAGATGTTTGAACTTCTTCTTAACAACAAAGAGTTTATTTAAATTATTTACTACTCACCTGCCTCGACTGCCAGTACTAGAGGTACTAGGGGGTCTCACAGGTGTATGAGAATTAGATAAACCTGAAAAATGATTCAACAAGTGAGTTTCAAACCAGGTAATATTCACATTCTACCTATCAGTTACAAAATTCGTAAGGTATAACACATTTTACCAATCCCTTGAGCCAGTCTTAGTCTCAAGGTGAGAGATAGCAAACATCAGTCAACTTCTCTCAATTGAACACAGATACCTCTCAAAATCATTCTCTAAGCAATACTATGCGATCAGCAAAAACAATCCAGATTAAGAAAAAGCTATATGCCACCCACCACAAGTCACCCAGGGTAAATAGCCTACTCAGACTCCTTCAATTATTCTATCCTTTTTTAGTAGTCCTGCAGTAAGTATACTAAGCCTCAAAATGTAAAACAAAAAACTGAAAAAACGTATTAATGAGACATCATACACAAAAACCGCCTTTATATTTGTCTTTTTTCTAGAAACAGTGAGAAAGAAGTAACAATTTACTTAAAAAAAATATATCTGATAGCAACTTCTGCACTGCACTGTTGATCTTGGAATTGACTTATTCATTATAAAAGGGTCAATAAAACTAAATGGGATTTTGGAAGACCTAAGCTTATGGACTTGATTGATCACACTTTAAAAGTCACAGTAAACTTAAGATTCTTTTTTAAAATCTCAAGTTGAAAGTTCACTTGCCTTTCCTTGTTGTCTTTCTTAAAAATTTCAACTTTTGCATTCTTTTACACCTCATGTACACACACACACATACACAATGTGTGGTATGTACACACCACAGACTATGACATGACCCCAAAAAAGGGTGACATGAGCCATTTTCAATAAAATGGGAGGAATCGGAGAGAATTAGCTACAGCCAAGTACATCAGGGAAAAAAATACTGCCCATTTAAAAAGCAGGCAATTCAATAACGTAACAATAAAAACTAAGGGAGATCAACAAACACGGGGAGTATTCTGAGGCTCAGGAAGAAGGGAGAGAAAGGGGCAAAAGAACACAAGAGGTGGTAACTGGCAAAAGGGAAAAAATTTCAAACAGGAAAGCTTGATGATTTTAAAAGGTTCCCAACCACTGCTCAGGGAGGTAAAATGGTTTGGACCAGGAATGGCAGAGTGACCCGCTGGATCTCCACTAGGCTACAAAGTCAGTGGCCAGTCTCTGCTCCTCCCCTAAAAAAGACATGGCCAAATGCCAGTAACTTAAAAAAAAAAGAAAAAAAAAAACTGGGCTTAAGCCAAAAGAAACTCAACTAACCACCTGCATAACAAAAATAAGATGTGGGAGGTAATTGTGTCTACAAATCCATCAAAGAGCATGAATACAGCTAGGGGTTTGGGAAGAAGTAGATTAGAATTCTATACAGTTTACACTACAGACATATAATTACTTCAAGTAGATGTAAGCTGCCAACAGTAAGTGAAGAAAAATAATGATTTTTGACTTGTTACTATGATGGTTAATTAAGTGCTGATTTGGCTAGAACACTGTATCAAACTGGCCTAACAAAACCCAGCAGTGTCTTAGACATGCTTAATATGACAACTGGGTAAATTCTGAATAAAACACATCAACCTCAATGTGGGTGGCTTCATTCAATGAATCAAAGGCCAAAAGAGAAGAATTGAGGTCCAAAGAGGAAAAAGTTTGCTTTCAGACTCAAGACCAGCGTCCACTCTTCCCTGGGACTCCAGTCTGTTATGCAGGTTTCAGACTCACCAGTCTTACTAATCAAGAGCCAATTTCTTAAAGTCTCCCCTATTCTCTACCTTCTACTAGTTGTGCTTTGCTGAAGAAATCATGACTAATACATTTACTAAAAAGTAACTTTTCTTAAAGTATTAAAGAAGTGAAGTGATACAGCAGGTCCTTCCTTAAGCAAGAGCTTCGTTTAACATCATTTTGTTATAACATGCTGAGAAAAAAAGAATCCCAGCCAACTATGAATGAAACATTGATGGTTTTTCTTATCCATTATTTCACTTAAACTGTGGTTTACAAAAAAACTATTAACAACTTTAATAAGTGGGGGTTTACTGTACCTTGGTTAGCTTTACCTGATGATCCTGGTGATAGGGCAGAGGGTCCTGGGGAGGGATTCATGGTACTTGTAGGCTGTGGGGGTAGGTGACTGCCTGAGATGTATCTACTTAGTAGATTATCTAAACTACTTGAACCAGCATCTTCCAACTAAGAGAAAGAATGAAAGGACAAATTTACTTTGATTAAAACAGAGAAATTATTAATTCCATCAGTATAACTGCTTATGTTAACAATTTACTAGCAAAGAAATTAACCAAAATCAAACATTAGCTCCCCTGAAGATCTACACAATATAAAGCTTATGTGAATAAAGTTTTAATATTATTCAAGAAATACTTAACAGCTCAAGACAAAACTCAATTATCTAAGTCCTTTTTTTTCTACTATGAAAATAATTCTGATAACACTGACACTTCTGCTTTTTCTCAAGTTGATACAAGGTTCCTTTGTAATCAACATCCTTGCTCTCCCTTCCTTTATTTCAATATCCATAGTGGTGACAGAACAATTCACTCGAGCAGAAATTTGATCATGCCAGTACTTAACTTAGAAACTTTGGAAAGTTTATTCATATTAAACAGAAAGGCCTTATCCTGGGATATACTGCCCTTTACAGTGCACAAGGACTGAGTCCTTTATTCACAGGCACACCTTATTTTCACCTTACTTCCTTTCTCACACTGCAGATACTGCCATTAAAAAAAAAAGAAAGAAAGAAAGAAACGCGTCTGTGGCAGTCCTGCCCCAAACAGGCCTATCAGCACTGCACCTCCAATAGCAGGTGGTTACTCTATGTGTGAGTCGCCTATTGGTGATTCTTGTAACATTTCAAATCTTTCTTTTTTGTTATTCTTCTGTCATGGTGATCTGGGATCACTCACCTTTGATGTTACTAGATTGTTTTAGGGTGCCACAAACCATGTCCATATAAATCAGCAACCTAATCAATAAATGTTACGTTAAGTTCTAACTACTCCACCAACAGGCATCCCTCCTTTTCAGAGACACAAAAATACTGAAATTAGGCCACATAATAATTCTACAATGGCCTCAAAGTGTTCAAGTGAAAAAGAGAGTCAGATCTCTCTTGCTTCAAACCAAAAGCAGAAATGATTATGCTAAAAGAAGACAAAGAAGACGACAGGTTGAAAACCCAGAGGGCTTAAGGTATAAACAGCAGCTCAGAAGAGAAGTTCGAAGCTATTAAGAGTGTGGATCACTGACACAAGCTATGCAACGTCTATCGTCTGACAGATTCCGGGTAGATAGGGAAAAGCTCTGAAAAATCACTTTCCACTGCTAACTTATGTTATGACCTCCCTTTTTTGTATAATCGTAATATCAAAATATTCTGAACAACTTTCAGCTTACAATCGGATTGCCTCAGCAGCATAAGGCCTGACAAGCAAGCACTGCACCAGGTTGAGAAATTCCTCAAGTGACTTGACTACTAGTTGATAAATAAAAGCAAAAGGGCTGTTTTTGCAAAGTCTCTCTCACTGCCAGATGGAGGAAAACCCAAATCTCATCATTCTATTATCTCACCTAGCCTTCTATTCAGCTTCTAGAATTACTCAAACTTCCTATTGTCTGGCTTTTAGATGTGGAAATTCATCCACGTTGCCTGTTTTGGAACTAGTCAGGTTTTCTACTACCTGCTACACTTCAAAGGAATCCACAAAGTCTTCTGGCTAGTCTTGCAGGTCTTTAGATTAAGGAAATTCACCTATGTCTCCTACTCAGAGATTTGATTTTCAAGGAATTTCCTCTCCCTGCCTCCCAGGATGTCTCAGGTAGAAAAACAAAAACCCCATTAAGTAGTAGATAAGGTTTAAGGGACTTTTGTTTTAGTTAATCTCCACTATAGTAATACTAGTCTTAAACTTTGTGCACCTATGTACCTGTTTTTAACCTTGATTGACTTTAGCATGTTATAATCTCAAGTAAAGGTCAAAATGACCCCAGACTATTCTTAGAAAAAAAGATGATTGTAATCTCTCTGCCCAGTTCATGTGCTGATGCCATCCCACTGCTTGCTCCTAATGTATAAAATAAACTTCTACAAAAGGCAGAACAGGAAAATTTGCACCTGACTCCGACTTCCGTGTCTTCCTCACTCCCGCTCCCCTTTACTCCCCAATTTTTAGAATATCATCTCACCGACTTCATTCCCACCTTGAGACACTGCTTGTGTCAGCCTCTCAACAGCCTGAAATCGGGGCTGGTCCCCGACAGATCATGACGTTTCCTAACATCACATCAAAATGTTAGGTGAACCAGCAAATGCTAACATAGAAGCTGCAACAAGCTCTCAAGACCGGTTGAGATTATTAATGAAGATGCCTAAATAGTCAACAAATTTTCCACATACATGAAATAATCTTATATTGAAAGAAGATGTAATCCAGAACTTTCACAGCTAGAGTGGAAAAGAGAATCTTCTGCTTCAAAATTTCAAAGGAGAGGGTGAAAGCTAAAGCAGCTGAGGACTTTAAGTTGAAGTTTAGTGCTCATTAACCATTCTGAAAACCCTCGCACCCTTAAGAACTCTACTCTGTGCTCTATACACAGAGCTTTTAAGCCCACTGTCGAGACCTTTAAAATACTAGTGCTGACAATGCACACCCTGACTTCACAATACCCAGTGTGGCACCTAGATAAACTGTTACTAAGAATGCCAAATATTAAACATCACTTACTTAAGTAAATTGTTAAAATACATCTATTAATTATGATCTAACCTGAACAGAACTGAACGTTTATTTATCTATTCAAAAAGTTCAGGTTCATTATGCATCCCCTGCAAGGTCAAAATTACAAATGAATTATCACTGTCCCAGAAATAGACAATTACAGTGCATAATTTAAAAAGCAATTCAGGTTAAGAGAATTCTACTTAAGTAAATAGCTATTCTACACTGCGTGGGTATACTGATTAATGTTGGTAGGTCAACAGGCAAAATTGCCTTACATGTCTTTTCCATCTGTGTTCTAGTTATGCTACCTGTCCACTTCCTGTGTGCCAAGTTCCTTTTTACTATACAATGGAACTACAGGAGAAAATGTAAGTAATTCTTCAAAAGATGATAGATAGGCTTTCTTTATTTTTGATTCACATGGCTAACTATTTCTTACTGTAGTGTTTTTTCTGATAATCACATCTAATTGCTTTCGAAAGTAAAAAGGGTCAGTATAAAGATGTAGGTAAAAGGATGTGGAGAAACTAAAATCCTACACTGCAATGGTAGGAATGTAAAAAGATAACAACCATTTGGAATTTGGAAACAGTTTGACAATTCCAAATTCATTTAAACATACTATGGTATGATCCTATAATTCTACAACTAGATATTTACTGCACAGAAAATACAACTTTATATTCACACACAAAATAATTCTATGCGTAAGTGTAGGAAAATGGAAAAAAAATTTCCATCAATTTATGCACAGGTGAACAAATGTAGTCTTTCTGTACAATAGAATATTCAGTCATAAAAAGGAATTTAGTACTCATACATACTACAAAAACGGGTAAACCTAGAAAACATGGTAAATGAAAGAAGAAAGAAAAGGTCACCTACTATACAATCCCATTCACATGTAATGTTCAGAATATGCAACTCCACAGAAACAAAGTAATAACATTGGTTTCCAGAAGTTGAGGAAAAAATGACTGACTGTTAATGAGTACATAGTTTTTTTAGGGGTGATGAAAATATTCTGAAATTAGTGTTAATGGCTGTATAATCTCATGACTATACTAAGAAAAAAAAACCTTAAAATGTATATTCTTAAAATTTTACAGTATGTAAATCATACCTCAATTTTCAAAAGTAAAAGAGATTCAATACCATTTTTTTAAAAAAATTGTTTAAAAATTAAAGATGGAATGGAACATATGACAGTTTCTTGACCTGACTTTAAAACTCTTCTGGGTAAGATGGCAGGCAAAGCCTCACAGGGCCATTTCTCTCATAATTCCCAATATTTCAGATGTAGAGTGTTTATTCTTATTCCGAGAGGTCTAAGTAAGAACTGAACCAAAGTGACTAGCTCTAGGAAATGATACTATTTTTGACATATGCAAGCTTCCTTCTCCCTGTTTAACAACTGGAACCAAAGTCTTTGTTATTTCTTTATCCTTAATGCCCAGGGGCTTTAGCACACAGCAGTGCTTAGCATGTATAATCTCTGGTTGTTCAAGGAGCCTCAATACTCCACCTGTCCAGGTCCACAACCCAAACCACCTCCCTGCTATAGCTTGTCATCAGAAGTACAAAGTTTGAAGCCCAACCTTTCCCTCTAGTGATTGAAGAAAAGTCATTCAACAGGGCCAATACACATCATAAAATGATTTCAAACACTAGGCTGGAGTGCTTAATGTTTTTGTAATTCTTAAAATCCATGAAAATATTAAACTCCGATCACAGAAAGCATCCAGGGTCCAAGCGGCTTTGCCCCCTCCTGTTCCCATGCCGAGTACCTCACATGATGCAAGACATGACACCATGTAACTGTCAAAGGTTTAACTACATTTAACAATACAATGTCTTTACTTCACACTTAAATCATGAAAATTTCAGTTTTTCTTCAAGGAAATGTATGTGAAAGGGAAAGAAACACCTCAGATCCTCAGCCCTTCATGTTCGATCCACTCTCCCCTTTACCTCCCCTCCCCCACTCCAGTGTGTGCTCTTGTACCTCACCCCCCATCGATGTCCAGTATCTAGGTCTTCCAACCTGTCCCGTTCTCACTCCAATTTGTCTACACAAAGAGTTAACAGTTAACAATCTTTTTTGTACTTAAAACTGACAAAAGTCACCAACACATTTTGGCCCTAGGTCTCCTTGCTAGAGCTAAACTCTTCATCAAACACAAGGTTGCTGTGCAGGTGTGAGTAAGGGATAAACTGATCTATTGGGGCAGATGACATCCTGAATTTTAAAACCCTGAAGAGTGCTAGTTTTAGCACACATAACTTTAAAAAAAATTCAAATCTTTATATACAGCTCTGTGGGAGTTTCAAAAACATGTTGTACCTAAATTAAAAACAAACTGATACAATTCTTAAATCTCTCACTAAATTTAGATACAAACCTGAATGGGTGGAATATCTGGCAGGGATGGAAGGTTTTCTGGATTGGTAACTGAGGGGATTAGTTCTATTGCTGTAACAGACGGGCTGGTAGGACCTCGATTCGCATTTGCCATAGTAGCTGTAGTGGGGCTGGTTGGATTTACTGTGGTATTGTGCACTGACACAACAGGAAAGGGTCCAGCATGCCCCGGATTTGAATGCTGTTAGGAAAGAAAACACTATTACTTGATTTGCCAAGATATCCTAATACTATGTGCTATACCTTTACAGTAATTTTTACTTTAGGGGGCATACACATTGTTTGATACCTTTAGCTGATAAACAATAGGCCCTCTCAAAATTATACGAGTAATTCGAATAATTTGGCCTATTCATTTTCTGTTCATTTTTGTGTGTTTAAGGAAAAGTAGATCATTTTCGACCTGTCACCTTGATGACTTCATATCAGATTTAAATAAAGAGAGGATGTGGAAGTCTCTTAAGTATTCAAATATCAGACCAGGAAAGTCACTGTTTTGTCTACATTCTTCAATTCTTTTGCTTTTTAAAAAATAAGAATGGTTAACTTTAACATAACATATAAACTTAACTATAAAATGTCAAAATAAATAAAGCACAGTGACTATACAAATAATGCTATACTACAGACTGGAAAGTTGCTTGAGAGTGTTTTAATGATTTTTTTTTTTTTTTTTTTTGTTGGAAGTTCCCTTTAAAAAAAAATCCATTGTATCATTCTTCAATTTTGTACAAGTTATGGCTTCCCCATGAAATTCCCACCCTCAATTCACCCATATACTACCACCATAGTCCCTTGTGCTCTACCGCCCCCCCTTTCCTGGTCCTTTTCCCGCGTCCTCCCCTATAAAATGTTTCTGATCTATAGTTGCCCTATGATTTTGATTTTTACTTTATTATATTACTTTTTTTTTAAGACTTATTTACTTATGCATACAGAACTGGGGTACAGGCCAGGGGTGTAGGGGCAGTGAGAAGCTTCACCAGAGACAGAGTGGGGAGCAGAAGAGCCCAACTGACAAAGTACACTGCTGAGGGGCGCAGTGGGCAGGTCAGGAGAGGTCTGCCACGCCACAAGGGTCTCCTCTGGGGCAGGGGTCGAACTCATGCTGAAGTGACTTTAGCTTCTCAGTGTTGTGCTTTAATCCACTATGCCACCAGGGAGGGGCCTACTTTTTTTTTTTTTTTAATCACTTTTTTTTTTCTCTGCATTCCTCACACTCCTATAGGTGAGTCCATTTCAGTATGTTTCTTTTTCTGGCTAATTTCACTGAGCATAATCCCTTCAGCTCCATCCATGTTGCTGTAAAAAGCCTAAATTTATCTTTTTTCACTGTAAATAAACAACACCTTCTTGACCCAGTCATCTATTTTTGGGCATCTGGGTTGCTTCCATACCTTACCTATTGTAAATTGTGCTGCAATAAGCATAGAGGTACAGGTGTCCTTTGGACAGATTCCTAGGAGTAAATTTGCTCCATTTTTAATAGTCTGACAAACCTCCACTCAGCTCTTCATAGTGGTTGGAGCAGTTTGCATTCCCACCAGCAGTATAGGAGAGTCTCTTTTTCTCTACATCCTCACCAACATTTGTTGTTGCTAGTTTTTTTTAATTGGTGCCATTCTCACTATTGTAAGGTGGTATCTCATTGTGGTTTTTATTTGCATTTCCCTGATTACAAGTGATGTTGAACATTTTTTCAAATGCCTATTAGCCATTTGCATTTCTTCTTTGGAAAAGTGTCTTTTTAGCTCTTCTGTCCATTTTTTAACTGGGGTGTTTGTTTTTGTTGGGCTTCATTAGCTCTTTGTAGATCTTTGTGATCAGTCCTTTGTCCTTAGTATTATGTACAAAACTTCGGTGGGGTGTCTCTTTTGTTTTGTGTAGTCTCATTTGCTGTACAGAATCTCTTTAATCTGATGTAACCCTAGCTGTTTAGCTCTTCCTTCATTTTCTTTGCTTTAGGTGATGTGTCTTTAAAGATATTCCTGATGTGGATATCATGTAGTTTTTGCATATATTTTCTTCTACGTATTTTATGGTTTCAGGTCTTTTAAGTCTAATCTTTTAATCCATTTTGAGTTGGTTTTGGTGCATGGTGTGAGGCAGTGATCTAGCTTCTTTTGCATGTAGCAGTCCAGTTTTCCGAGCACAATTTTTTTTAAAAGATTTATTTATTTATGCATGCAAGTGCTGAGGTGCATGCCAGAGGTGTGAGGGGTGAGAGGATTCACCAGAGACAGAGTGGGGAACAGAACAGGCAGACGGACTGAAACATACTGCTGAGGGGAGCAGTGAGAAGATAGGAGACATCTGCCACTCCACATGGGTCACCTCCCTGCTGGGGAATGGAATTCATGCAGTGGCTGCTGAAGGCTTCATAGTGCTGCACTTCAACCCACTGTGCCACCAGGGAGGGCCCAAGAGAATGTATTTTTTTAAGTCCTTATCACAAACAAAAAATTAGTTGTAACTATGTCTGGGAACAGATGTTAACTAGATTTATTATGGTGATCATTTCTCAAATACATATAATGAATCATTATGCTGCATGTTTGAAGCTAATATAATTGTATACATCAAGTACAGCTTAACAAAAATAGTTTACTCATGTAATCTGTGCGTTTAGTTATAGTAAAAAATGAATTTATAAACAGAAACATGACATCAACTCCTGACTCTAATACTGAGTGACCTTTTTTTCAAAATATATTAATAGTTTATTTTTACGTAATTTTGTACATTTTTAAAATGTACAAAATCATCTCAATTGTAATCCCTGTGGGTTTAATACTGAGTGACCTTTACACAATGCACATAATCTCTGTAATTCAAAATGTAGCTAATGTTACCTGACCAGCCTCATTACAAAGACTGTTCTGAGGACTATTTAACAGTGATGAAAATCTTTGGAAATTTCTACACCAAAATATGTAAAGTATTTATAACTTATAATTTCTAACATTCAGTATTTCTGCAGGGACACTAAAGCCAAAGGACAAGTTCTGTAAGCAAATGTTTGGTCTGATCTAGCTGCTTCTGCAACCTTTCCAAAAGGGTGTACCGGCTCCCAGGCAGCACTCAGATTTTCCATGTCCTAGGGGCTTGTGGGGTGTGGACACTTTTAAGGAAATGAATGTCCAGATCCTCAACCTGCACATACACATTTTTCTAAGTGAAACCAGACTTACCTGAGAATGTGGCATGTTCTCCTTTCCTACGACTACTTTCCTAAGTGCCCAACTATCTGTCTAAAAAAAAAAAACCCCAGTTGATCTTTGCTGGTAATTAATCTTTTGAAAAAAAAGATTAATTTCATTTATTAATGCATACAAGAACTGAGGTACAGGCCAGGAGCTGCAGGAGGGGAAAGAGAGTGTGTGAGAGGATTCATCAGAGACAGAGGGGGGAGCAGAACAGACGGATCTACTGAAACACATTGCTGAGGGGAATAGCAGGGAGATAGGCGAGACCTACTGTGCCCTGTGGGTTAGCTCCCTGGCCGGGGATTGAACTCGTGTTGCAGTGGCTACGGATAGCTTCATAGTGCTGAGACTCAACCCCCTGCATCACTAAAGAGACCCCAATTAACAATCTTACTCTACCATGAAGGTAACAAAAAACTGGAGACAAGCAATGTGCAATGGGAAAAAATAGGTGCCATGGTGTTACAATCATGACTGACTCCAAACCCTGGATATCAATCTTTCAGTAGGTTTTACTTGATGATCATCAATAATGAAGAAAGACCTGAAGAAATTATCAACTAATAAAAGACAGAGAAAACATTTGGATAATTCATTGTGAGTTTCAGCTTATAATGTAGAAAAAGACCAAAGAATTGAGGAAGATCTTTTTTAATCCCAGTTACATGTTTTTGCTAATAAGTATCTTGAGCATCAAATGCGAACAAAATTTTTTAAGTGAGTAGTAACAGTTGGTAACAGACACACAAATGTAAATGCACATGGATGGAGCTGGAAGGGTATAAGTCAAATAAGTCAAAAGGAAAAGGGAAAATATGGGATGGTTTCATTTACAGGCGGTAAATAGGGAAACCAAACAAGGGCTAAGGAAAGGGGAAAAAGACAAAGACATGCAGCGAAGGAGGGAAGAGTGGGGTCAAAGCAGAAGAGGGAAGAACATGAGGGACTGTGGTGATGAGTGACTTGGTGGTGGGAATTTTATGGGACTATACCTGAGACGGAAAGCAAACACGGAGCAAAAATGAACAATGATGTAAAAATATATACATGTGTGGTTAATAAGAAATGTTAAGTGAGTAGAAAGGGAAAATAAACTCCATCTAGATCGCCAAGAAAAGTGCATTTAAAGGAATTTTATTTCCTATATTTTCTAATATTCTTAAAACTATGTAAATATATCCCTATTTTTGAACTGGTAATTCAGTAGGAAAACATTTCAAAATGTCCTTTTAATACTGTCACTGGAAAATTAAGAATTTTTAAGGTAGACATTTTCCAGCATAAAATTACAAGTAAATATAAGCATGTTAAGATAAAATTCTGTAGCAGAAGTTTAAGTTCAAGGAAAAATGGAATTATAAAATTTTCACTTTAAAAAATGAGTTTACCATGGTTATTTTGGTTTCAGTAGGTTGATTTACAAGAATGATGTAAGATTTTATCTTATATATTTGTTTACAATATGCCAGAAAGTATGTCCTCTGCAACTATTAAAACTTAAAGTTAAAATGGAACTTTTAAATGTCAACCTTCAACTGTGATGTGTACTAGTCAAAAAATCTCTCTAGAGCACTGGACTAAACAGGTCCACTGCTTAGGCCAGTACTTGTTCAACGTTTTTTTCACCAGATGATTCTAAAAGTTAAAATGTATGTAAAAGTAGTCTCACTTTATAATCACACCTCCTATATACATAAAATCAACTATATTTAATCAAAGATTAGAAAATATGCTTCCATTGTCATTTTATTTTTAAGAGTAGACATATGTATGTCCCAAAAAGGACAATGTGTAGAAAAACCCAAAAATGTTATATACAGCATAACTATCGTTTTCAAAGTCCTTTTAATAGTTAATTTCAAAATGTAGGACTAAAAAAGCAGAGAAACAATTTCAGGAAACTAGGTTCTAAACATGATTCTTACCACTATTGCCTGTCATTATGGGCAAATAGCAATAGCTTTTGTTTTTCACTTCTGCAAAATAAATTAGGCACCAGGATAGGAGCCTGGGTCCTTCAACTCATAGTATATGGAGTATATGGGGGTTTAATGAGGTCAAAGCCCTTAAAGTTGCATACAAAATTTTAGGTATATATGTGTCTTCCAAGGCAAGAAGAAACATCAAAGGCTACACCACCTCCCCCACCCACCACAATTAAGAAAAATGTTGTCTTTTAGTTTTAAAATTGTATGACTCTTACAAATGTAACTCTAGGCATACTTGTCTTTGGAGGTGTGGCTGCATCATGGAATACTGAGGGCCGCTGTGCCTGGGTATTCCTGGTATTCGGGCAGCATTCTGAGCCAATCTCATCTGATGTGCTTGGAAAGCTCCACAGTTCATGTTGCCTCTTTGCATTGTTTGCACACTGATCAATCTTGGAGGCTATAAAAGGCAGAGATAGCATTTAGGTGGTATATTTTAAAAAGCTTCTTTCAATTAAAAAGCACTGAAGTTAAAAAAAAAAGTCAGGGTAGAAGGATATAGAAGTAGAAAATTTAAGTCGTTCTCCTCATCTCTAGTCCCAACCCTCTTCTTTTAGTATATTCACTTGCTTAAGGCCTATCAACATTAATTTATTCAATCCGGGATTAGTAATTTTGATTTGGATGATCTAAGAAAACAACAGGAATGGGAAAATTTGAACAAATGCCCAAAGAACCTAACAGATCTTATAGACAGACAACCTGGCCCAACACTACATACAAAAATCGGAAAAGGCCTAGCATGGAGATAAGAAAACTTGTGCATTTTCAAGAGTGCTAGTGAGTTAATTTTGTTTCTCTTGGTAAACATCTGCTCATAACCCTTTGTGTACCTTCCCCACATGCCTGCCATTCCTAGAACAAACACTCAAGTTAACTTTCTGAGCTCTGTCCCTGCTTATACCGGATAGAAGGAAAGATGCAGTCCGCAGGCCCTCGTCATTTACACCAGGAACAGTGAGGCAACTCTCACCTGCTGCTGCAGCATCTGCGGGGCCGTCTGCCTGGGGTGCTGCTGTGTTGTCGTCGTCGTAGTCGGTGCAGGCGCAGGTGGCTGCTGCATCCTCATCTGTTGCAACTGCTGATGTTTCTGTGCATACACTTGTTGCTGCATGTGCTGGAGTCGAAGTTGTGCTAAGTTAATCTGTCCAGGAGTTTTACTAATGTGGTTTGTCCCTGGAGGAACTTGCCCGACTACAACATTAGGAGTATAACCAGGAGCTGGTTTACTCTCTATTACTAGATTACCTAAAGGATTTAAAAAATGAGAATAATTTACATGTAACCAACTAAATCACTTATTTTGTGGATTACTCACTATCCTCTCCTCTTTCCTCTGACAATTATTAACACTCAAAGCATCCAACAGTACAGTAGAGATGGGAACTAGATGAATACCTGAAACCTAATAGAGTCCAAAGCCAAATAATTACCTTTTGATTACTTTGACTTTGAGTTACACCACCTGCACTTACTCTTTATTTACAAAGATGTACAGAAAATTAAAGCGTTGAAAGAGACAGTCCTAGAGGAGGCCCATCCATATAGTATAAGTCAGTTCTCTCCTGTCAAGAGTCAAGGAAACTCAAAATTGCTAATGCTGATTTCATGTGCCTTAGAACTCCAAAAATGGTTTAAGGACGGAGTACGGATTGCTACACATCTGTCTTGTTTGGAAATGCTGAATGTTTCAAACACATAGCCATAGAAAAAGACAATTTTCTTTGCTTCTCAGGAGCCTATGGCTTTCTAGAAATGGAAAGCAATTTTTAGGAAGGTTTAACCTAAGGTGGTAGCAAAATTTTCCTGTGAACAGCCCATCAGTATTTTAGGCTATGTATACATCATAAGATCTGCCATATTTTTTTTTTCAAAATCCTTGATAATATAAAAACTAAACAGCTATCTTAACACACACACAAAGTGTTATACCCTGTCTAAGGCTATCAATGAATCTGAAGAACCACACCGACTGCCATTCCACATAAGGCCACGCACCTCTCTTTCTAGTTTCCAACGCTGAAGACTTGACTACTTTGAAAGTGAGTTTACTTAACTCTGCAGATGCTCCAATTGTTGGGAAGTTTGTTTTTATGCTACTTGTTTATTTGTAATTGAGCTACCTGTCTCTCTCTCTTTGACTTTTACCTACGGTCCTCAGGTCCACACTGTGGAGCAACAAAACGAAGTCCACTTCTCTCCATGTGACAGAGCTACTCTTATGTTTCAAACACTTCTCAGGACACGACTTTCACACATCAGCATCCTGGAGGTCCTCCTCTAGGGGATAATCTGGTACAATTAATATACAAACTACTAAGCATCTAAGAAAGTCTTCCAGAGGATGAAGATCTGTTTTCTAAGATTTCCATATCAAATACCCAGGATCAATTTTAAAAGATGGGGGTGAGGGGGAAATGATATGCATTAAATAGAAACTATACAGAGGACACTCAACCTCCTTAATTATGTAATGAATATAGCTCTCGTGAGCTTTCAATGATGATAGTATATCCCGAGAAGTTCATGTTAGAATGAAGATACTAAGTTCTTAAAATTTGTTTGAGATGCTTTCTTCTAATTCAGAGCTATAGATTCTATACATATACATATACACACATATATTTTTAAAGAACTAATTATTTCTCACCTAAATTGACTACATTCTTTGCCCAGAAGGTGGGATCACAATGGAAGCGTATTGCTCCATTAGCAGCAGGGACAGGATCACACCGTGCTTTCAAAATATGGCGCAATTGAAAAGTAATCTTAAAGGGAAAAAGTCCACATTAGTCTTAAGATCGAATATTCTTGAGAAAATATGCAATGCAAGGTAAAGACATTAAGCCCATGTAGCCCTTCAGCATCGGCCTCAGAGGCAACAGTAAATCATGTTTAAAAGCTAAATAAATGATCAAATTCATATGCTTGAGTTTCTGACATATGCAAAGACCAACTACATGTCAATAGCAGATAACTTCAAATTACACTCACATGAAATTTTAGAAAGTAACAGGTATTTTCTAATAATTACTGGGTATTAGACCATTAGACTAAGGTTACCACCTACATCCCAGGGTAGAGGGGAACTAGGAAACTGTGGGGAATAGAAATTTTCTGTATCTTGATGTGATGATAGTTAATTTGCCAAATTCAAAATCTGTACTTCCAACAAGTGCCATTCATGATACGTTTAAACTTCGTGAATATGACTGTGTTAACTCCTGTAATTACATTATTTTCAGGAAAGCCGACTCACAGAAAAGTAAAAACACCGTGTGCCTTACCAGTCGCTTGCTGTACAGCAGTGCTGTGCTGCTGCCGCTTGCAATTGCCCAGTTTGTAAAGTTCATGACATGCTTCACCTGCCGGGAAAGGCCTGTGATGTCATTTTGCTGCTGTAGTAACTTCATCTGTCTTTCTTTTGTGACATTCTGAAACAGAACAAGAGATTCACTGAAGAAGTTTATGGGGGAGGGAGGGGAGAGCTCGTAATTGCACTAGCAACTAAATATATGACCTCTGTATTTTTAAAATGGGGTTAAGTTGGCATGCTCCTCACTTACTAGCTCTGTAAGCAAAAGAAATGTCACAGAAAGAGTTGGACTAAAATAATTTTCTAGGATAATTATTAGGATGTTCCACCTAGAGAAATTACTATTATTTGCTGCCTCTCTTTTCCCGTAGACATCTTAGTGTCTACGTATTAGGTTAATCCATTATAAATTCTGTAGCACAATGAGAAAAACTTTAGAAATAATTTTACATAATCTTGACTCACTACACTTTTGAAAGAAAAGAAAGTTTTGTGTTTTCAGTGCCATCTACTGGTGTGGCATACAAAGTCAAACTGAATGAGAAAGATAAATTTCAGAGGTGTAAGAGAAATCAGGGAACCTTTTCTCCAAGTTCATAAAGAACAAGGGAATCAGTAAGGGCTGAAGGGAAGACCATATTGGGGGAAGTGCTGCAAAGGAAAAATAAATTGCTTTCTGGGGACTAAAATTCCCTGAAGAGGTAGGTGATGACTTATGTACTTTGACATTCAGCATGCCATACGTTATTTTCTTATAAAATAGATTCAACTTGGTTTAATGCACTATTTTTTCCTCCCTAAGGAGTAAGCTGCTCATTTCATAATGTAAATCAGTGGATAAAAAAACTAAATTGAATTTTGCTGGATAACTTACAACTTTCCCTAAAAACATTCCACCTAGAAATCTTAGGAAAACCTCTATTTCCAATGTTTTGGGGCATTTCATACTTTAAAAAAAATCTATGTAAATTGTCACCATGTTAGAAATATCTGGCAACCTTATCACTGGGTATTAATATTATTATAGCATCAAAAGTTCTTGAAAGGATTTGAAAACACTCAGCCCTGCAGTTTAAATGACATTAAGTACTGACATTAAGTGAAAAGATAACAAAATTAGCTGCTGCTAAGTTCTCTTTATTTATACCACCTTTCTGAAAATCAAAACCTATCAGGGTTAAATGCACAGTAAAGAGAACTTGAACACTGAGTGAAGTAGTTTTTGTGCCATTGTTCTGCAATAGAAAAAAAAAATCTCAGAAGACAAAGAAATTCGGAAGAAAAACTCTACTGACACAAATTTCATTTGTGCTGAGTAAAATTTTACAACATTTTATGAAGTAATCAAACGGGGAAAATTTTAGTTTAAAAGTAATGAAAATTAAAATCATCAAATTTAGTTTGCTTGAACGGTTAAAGTAGTTTAAATTTCTTCTATTCAGTGGTGCAGAAAATATAATTCCATGTCATCTGAGACTATTTAAAATCACAAAATTTTGAGAACCAATCAACTGTGATGATCAGAGATGATGCTTAGATAAAATTTAGAGTTAACATACTGACCAGATTCTCTTCTGGAAATTCTATCCACATGTTAATCTCAAAACATACAATACAAAGACCTAATACAACAAAATTATCAGCTAGTGCAGTTTGTAAATTTCAAAAAATGAGCATTTTTAGCAAAACTATGAAAATATTTTCAAAATAATGTAAAACACACAAGTGAGTCAAGCAGAAACTCAATATGCACTCATATAATTTAAAATGAGGGCCTATTTGTGGGGGTGGAAAAAAAAAGGGTGAATGCGATGCATCAGCTTTATCTTCATTTACATCACATTTTAAGAATCACTCTTTCATTCCTAAGAGGAAATGCTACCTATTAATTTAGACAGCTAAAATTAGTATTATTAAAAAGGGATGCAAGGTAACTATCTTAATAAAAGTTTTGTTTTCCAATAGAATATGAAATTTTTTTTATTTACTGTACTTCCATACCCAACCCCCGACCAATCTAAAAAAGCTTTCAAATAAACATTTAAAATAGCTAAAGAGCAAGAGAAGCAGTTTTTGTTTTATTTTGGCTTTGAACCGTACCTCTAGCTGCTGTAAGAGAGATTTTCCTTTCTTATTAATTTCATTGATAAGGGTGAAAATGGCCACTTTAATTTCCTGTTCTACTCGTTTGTTAGTCTCATTTACTTCTTTTATCCTGAATAAGAGAAATGCATCATTAGGTTATCAACTTATCCTACGTCTCTGAATCATCAACTGTACAGAAATTCATCCAACTGGGCACTTAACCAAGTAATTAATATTAAACCTCTGTCAAAATGTATATCTTATGTTTCAGCAGACCTGACCACTCAATTTTGTCCAAACAAGTTAGGTATATAGACAAAGAATAAACTAAATATTTAGTCATTTTAAATTGAACTCACAAAGGCCACTTTATTAATCTGGGTTAATCTAGATCGAAAGAGTCAAGTAGAGCGTGAAGTCAGAGCTCTTTAGCTCCTGCCATGGATGTGTACGACACCTAACAGTCGCTGGCTACTGTCAGATCTGGCAGATCATCCTATTTAATCTTAATGCGCTTAAGAACTATGTGCAAAAGAACAATGCTGCAACCAAGAATTATCTTTTGAGATAGCAGGAATTAAGCTTACAAGCATTTATTCTCACTTATAACTTAAACCACTTCCAATGTGGGTTCTCACACATTATCTCCCCTTCCAAAGTTTCTTCTGTATATAATTAGGGCAGAAAAATACATTGAGTCCATTTTTAAAAAGTTAACATGTTTCTGAAATAGGGATAAATGCCCATTTAGGTTATGAAAGTTTTGGTTGCAAATATAAAATAGCTGATATCCTACTACTATTTACAAAACAGGAAGAGGGAGAATACCTTCAATAAAACATCTATTTGTTAATGAACAACCTTAAGAAGACTGCCTTCAACACTTATACATTCTATAAATGTATAACTATAACGTATATTTTTAATCCCTAAATTGTCTTTCATTGCCAAATTCAAACTGAATAACTATTATACTCTGAGTCAGAAACGTGTGTAACTTCCCCCTCCTTTGTCTGTACATCAGTGCTTGTTTGGGCACTTATTTGAAATTTTTATTCAGTTCTCTCCATATTAAAGCAAGTGGAAGACATTTTCTTAAAATGAAAATGCTGATTACTAGTGATAAGAAATAAAGGACTCAAAATGACTCAGCCAAAAACTGAATTTATTATGCATGCTGAAAGCAGAGAACATGTAGGGCCACGGTAAGGCCTCATTAGATTTAAACAGATGATGTGCTGTATGTTCAACTGTGAAGGGAGAGAAAAATGAACACACACTGATAAATTGGAGATATATCATCTTATAGGGGATTATTAGAAAATTTAATACTTTTTTAATGCTTTCTGGAGATGAACTCATTAATTTCTCCAACCCTCTGCAATCTTATACATTTCTTATTCTGCTCTTTCATACAAGTTTAGGAATAATATGCAAAATATAGAAAAATATGGAACTCCCTATCATTTCTCTGAAAGTGGACATCCAATGGTCATTTATGACAAGACAGTTATCTTCTCCAACAACATCCACAACACAACGAGTAATATAACTAAAAGAGCCTGACATTTCACTAAGTACTAGACATCCTTGGCTAATGTGCACATACATATTAACATATAACCTACAATTTAGAGATTACCTCTTAGATTACCTCTTACAATTTAGATTACCTCTAAATTGAAATTGTAGATTACATGTTCCTTTTCAATAACTTAAAGATGGAAGTTCTACCATCTTAAGTCTAAATGATAATGCAAGTTTTTTGAGTATCTACAATGCACCATTTTAATCATCATAAATCAATGAAATTTCAATATTCTAAAAGGACTGAAAAATCCCAGCATTTGTGAATCTAAGGAACAACAAATATTAACCTATTCATACTCCAGGAATGAACAAGTTTTATTTATAGTACTTCCAAGTGTGTGCATTTACAGTCCTAATCCTGGTAAGACTCCTTAGTTACAGAATTTACTTCCAATCTAGAAATGAACCAAAATAGAAATTTTTAAAAACTGTTGATAAAAGAAAAAAAAAATAGCTAACATCAAGGATTTTACTATTTGTCTGAAATGATACTGCCTATTCTTCTTAAGAGTACTGCTACTGAGTAGTAAGTAGTTTTAATGCTTACTTTACAGATGGCAAAATAAGTCTGGCCACCACTCTTTTTACTCTATACGTTGTGTTCCCATTGCTAGTTTAAATTTTAAATTCTCTGTATGTTAAATGTGTTTTCTACATTTAACTAAAGTTTTACAAAGACCAAAGTTGACTTATAGCCCAAATTCAAATCATAACATTTAGCCCCTAAAAAAGGGTGTGCCATATATGCGTAATAAAGGCAGACAACATTTAAACTGGACCCACTGTGTTCAGTAATCTTCAAAGTGAAAGAAATTATGGTTTTATGGCAACATACTTACCTATTTTGCACCTGAGTAGCTGCAAAATGAACATAATTCTTCTTCTCAAGAAGCTTAGCCAACAGATTCTCAATTACACCTTTCTGGTTTTGAAAAGCTTCTTCCAAAAACTGATACCTTAAAAACAAAACAAACACTACAATTAAAATAGAAAATCTACCACTAAGGACTTTGGAATGAAATGCCACATGAGTCAATCTTGAACCACCAACTTTCTATTTTGGCTACACATACCTCCTCTCCACAAGTTCTAATACCAAACCCTCCCCTTCTCACATCACCCTGGGAAACTTTTTAGGCATACTCAAAAATGTCTCAAAAACTGTTTCAAGTATTCGTAGATAAAAGTTTTAATGTAGGATTGCAGTTTTTAAAAGACCTAAATTCCTAAGTTATATACATTTTAAATCATAAAATACAACTTTATAAAGTCACTTGTTATATATAGCTCATTAGCCATTTCTTTATGTATTTTAAAATATAAGTATAGCAACGATTCAACAATAAAACCTGACTTAAAAAGCAGGCAGAGAAACTATGTAGAACAATTCACCAAAGCAGACACATAGATGGTCAATAGACACATGAAAAAGTGCTTATCACTTATCACTAGGGAAATGCAAATGAAAGCCACAAAGAGACACCACCTCACAACAGTTACATGGCTATTCCCTAAATATAAGGAATGGCTCAGTCCGACTTAGTAAGGATGTGGAGAAAAGTGTAACTTTACATACTATTTTTGGGAATGCAAACCGGAGCTTAACTATGAAAAACAATACAGAGATTGTTCCAAAAATTAAGACTAGAATAACCATGTGATCCAGCCATTTCATGTCAGATTATTTACCTAAAAAATATGAAACTACTAATATGAAAAGATATCTGTAGCATTTTTCACAACAGCCAAGATCAGGACACAACCTAAGTGCCTACTGAGGGGGTAGAGAGAGATGAAGTTTACATTTACAGTGGGACAATGAATCTTTAAAAATAAAATTTTGCCGTTTGTGACACCATGGACAGATCAGAAGAGATTATGCCCAGTGAAATAAGTCATAGAGAGAAGGAAAAGTGCTTTAATTAAAGTAGCACTTACATGTGAAATCTAAAATACTAAACAAAGTAAGTAACTCATGGACACTAAATGTAAGATGAGTAGTTATCAGATGCAGGAGATAGATAAAGGAGATGGCATAACTGTAAGAGAAGAGGGTTAGAAAGTACAAACTCCCAGCTATAAAATAATTAAGTCATGGCAAAGGGGATATATATATAAAATGGGGACTATAGCGTATAATATTGTATTGTCTATTTGAAATTTGGTACAAGAACATTTCCATCAAAAATAAAAATTCTAACTTTGTAAGGTAATGGATGCTACACTTAGACTAGTTATGGAGATATTTTGCATATATGCAAATACTAGAATAGTTTGTTAACACATGAAAATATGATCTGTCCATTATATCAAAGAAAATAAATACCTTTAATTTATAAAGATATTTAACCTTATAGGCCCTCCCTATTGGCACAGAGGGTTAAAGCACAGCACTGAGAAGTTTAAGCCACTTCCGCATGAGTTTGATTCCCGCCTGCCCCAGAGGTGACCACATGGCGCGGCAGACCTCTCCTGACCCACCCGCTGCTCCCCGCAGCAGTGTACTTCGTCGATCTGCCTGTTCTGCTCCCCTCTCTGTCTCTGGTGAATCCTCTCACCCTCCACATCTCTGGCCTGTACTCCAGCTCTATATGAATAAATAAATCTTTTTTTAAAAAAAGATATTTAGGCCCTCCCTGGTGGCGCAGCGGGTTAGAGCACAGCACTGAGAATCTAAAGCCGCTTCCTCATGAGTTCGATTCCCGCCTGCCCCGGAGGTGACCACATGGCGTGGCGGACCTCTCCTGACCCGCCCGCTGCTCCCCTCAGCAGTGTATTTCGTTGATCTGCCTGTTCTGCACGCCACTCTGTCTCTGGTGAATTCTCTCACCCTCCACATCTCTGGTCTGTATCCCAGTTCTGTATGCACAAATAAAATAAAATCTTTAAAAAAAAAAAAAAAAAAGATATTTAACCTTATAAATATTTCTCTTCCCATCTCAAAATTGTAATTTTAGAAACCTGGTTTCTAGAAATAATACTGCTACATTCATGTGAAGAAGCAGCAAGCAAACACTAAAACACCTAGGCAAAAATGTGTCCTTTCCTGTCCTTATATAGAAGGTGACAACTAAGGTAAGTATTAAAGCATAAGAATTCTCTAGTAAGTACCCTCACAGGGGGGGAAAAACCCCTGCAGAAACCAAAAGTACGCAATTCTGAAGCCTCTATGACTTTCAGAAATCAGGAAAAGGCAAAGCTCGATGAGTTCATGAAGACACCAGGTGCTAAAGAGCCCTGTCCATTTTGTTGAACATTCAATTCAAATAATAGTAAATAAAGGACTGACTAGGGAAAAAATGATTTTTTTTTTGTTTACTTGAATAAATTTCAATTGTGTTAACAAAAGAAAAATACTAGCTGGAGTTAGAAAAGGGGAGCAACATGGAAGTTTTGGCCACCAACTACTTCTGACTATCTTCACTAATTATACTAACATGGTGTTTTCTTAACTAATAAGAATTAATCAAAATTAATTCAGAATTGAGAAGGAAGATTAAGCAAAAATGTATTAGACATACTTTTGACTAATTTTAAATATATGAAAGCTGTTTTCTTGGGATATAATTCATGTAAAGTAGTCATACTTAATGGGTTCTTCAACAAGCTGTTTTCAGTATTTCATTACAGTACTGAAAACACAGTTCTCAAAAGAATGTGCAATGAATAAAGATTGTATTTTAAAGGTTGAAATCATTCAACTAGTAACTTCAAACTATAACTTTTGAACCGCACATTTAATTTAGATCCTGTGCAAATTAGACACAACTCTACTTGTCAAACAATCAGTTATTACATTGCTGTTAGTAATTGTCAGTGTGATTTTATTCTTGTCACTTCTAGGAGAATGCTGTGAAAAAGAAAGGGGGAACCCCCTATAAACTGCAATTGCATGGATTTAAAGTGCACATTATCTGGAAGGTCTAAAACAACTTGATTCTGAAAAATCTAATCCTCCCAACCTAACAGAGGTTCTGTGACTTAGCAAAAGGAAATCAGTTTTATATTAAGGAATTATCCATTCTAAACAATGGATTTTTATAATTAATTTTTCATGGAAAATGAGTTTATTGTTTATATAAAACAGTATCTTTAGTTTTAAAAAATAAGTATAGAGAGGAAGACTCAAACTAAAGGAAGTAAAATATTCATGTTTAATCAGCCAGCAAATATTCAAATTATGTTAAAATAATAAAAAGAACCTCTGAACTTTAGTGGGAACAATACCTTGTAAATCTAGAATTTGTGATATCAAAACAAAAAGGTTTTAAAAGGAAGAGGGAACATAGGTGGCTGGCAGATTTTTAAAAATTTAAATGCAATGGATGGATTTTAATGGAAACTTAACATGGCTAAGAAGAATATTTAAGAATATCCAATTGAAGAGACTGTAAAGAAATGCTTCTCTGTTTTGGAAATGAACACCATCTGGATTTATCTAAATAAACTGAAAGTGAAAATACTTATGACCCAGGAATCTCACTCCTCAGCATTTATCCAATGAATGAAACCATCCATAAGCAATGTTTATTTAAGTATTATTTAAATTAGGACATGCAAACAACCTAAGCCCCCAGTGACAGAGAACTAGATCAAAAAGACATGTTATACCCACACAATAGAATATTATTCAGCCATAAAGATTTAATGTTGCCATTTACAACAAAATCAAGGGAATCATGTATCATAAATCAAGACAGACAAATGACCAAGACAAATAATTGGACATCTGTACAGAGGATGACTGGACAAAGCAAAACACAAAAACTAGCAGATGCTAATTAATAAAGTAAGGCTCTGGAAGAAGAGATATACAGAGGGAGAAAGGGTCAAAGGATTATACAAGATTCTCAGTGGGGGAAAGGGGTGTATTTCATGTAGAGAACATTTTTTTAAAAGATTTATTTATTTATGCATACAGAGCTAGAGTATAAGCCAGAGGTTTGGGGTGGTGAGAGGATCACCAGAAAGAGAGTGGGGAGTAGAACAGGCTGATCAATGAAGTACACTGCTGAGGGGAGCGGGGGTCAGGAGAGGTCTGCCACATCATGTGGGTCACCACCAGGGACAGGGATCAAACTTGCACTGAAATGGCTGAGGCTAGCTTGCAGTGCTGCGTCCTTACCCACTGCACCACGAGGGAGGGCCCGGGGTACATTTTTTAAATCTAAATTTAGATCACTATTCTTGTAAGAGCTTAAAGAGGGGTAAAGTATCTATTGAAAATTGTTTTGGGTAATTACCTAATATTCAGAGTAAATATGTTAAAAAATAATACAATTAGTTAGCTACTGGAGTACTTCATTTGAAAGCAAAAGAATTCACATATTCTTTCATCAAGTTTATAGATCAGAGCTAAAATCCTATGGAAAAGTAGAGAGTTGTCAACTTATGAAACCAATAAATTATGAGCTTTATGAACAGGAAAATGAATTTAACACTGAAATGTTTCCATTCCTTTCAATGAATATATTATTTGGAGTTAAGGTAAAAAAACAATCCAATGATTGAGAAAGCCAAAAGAAGTAATTGTCAACAGAAACCAAAAGGAGTAATCCACCAACAAAAGTTAGAAAACAAAGACAGATTTAATAGAAGAGTAACAGCTAGAACGTTTGCTGATTTCTTGTCTCCTTAAGATCAAGAAGGCCATGTGCCCAAACAACGAATGTAGTAACAAGAAAAAACTGACAAATGTACCTAAAAAAAAAATCTTTCATAAATGTGAGCAAAATGAAGACATTTATAGACAAATTAAAATTCATTACCACTAGGTTCTCATTTACTAAAGAAATTCTAAAAATAAAGAGCTACAGGCAAAAAAAATGAAACAAGATAGGAGGTCTGGTAACAATGAAGAAAAAATAACAGAAAAGGTGATACAAATTGAAAATACTATTTAAATTTAGTAATAGTAAAATACAGAATAATTACAAGAAAGCAACAAGTTTTTTAA